ACTGGCCTATCAGTGTGGATTGTAAATGTTCCCAATGCATGTTTGGGTTCTCTTAAGGTTCTTTGGTTTCCTCTGACAATCCAAAACCACATGTAAGGATTATTTTGTATTTCAAACGCAACCTTGCGAGTGAATGAGAATGTTTTTTTTTTTTGTTTTGTTTTTTTTTGTTTGTTTTGTATCTCTCTGTGGTACCTTGTGAGATGAACTGGTGACTTGCCCAGGATATACCTTTTCTCTCACCCAATGATTGCTGGGAAAGACTCCAGGCTCCACTCCACACTTAGGAGGCATAAAATGGATGGATGAATGTTTATGTAAAACAAAACAAAAAAATAAAAAAGCTGGCAGATTTACATGGGGAAGGAATGCATGTTAAAGCAGCACTGCTCCCTACATAACCACAGTAAACAAAATCAAATAAATGTAATTATTTATGAAAACCTCACCATAGAAATCCTCAGCTTATAATACTTTAACTGAGCGCTGGAGAGCAACGAGACACAGCCATTCAAAATCTACTCCACCAAACTGCTGAGAGGAGGAAAGGCAGCACGAGGTATGTGATCTGTGAATGCAACATTACGTTGTATTTTTGTTCTTCATTTCCTTGGAATATATTTTACATGTCAGTGGTGGTAGGGTCAGTTACTCTCTAAGTTGATGCATCATATGAATCTCACTTTCCAGAGTTCAGTCCAAGGTAAATACTACCGCAGTGAGAGACAGATTATGTTTTATTCAGAGACTCTGCATTTTTAAAACAGTTATACATTTAAAATGTAAAAAGTGGTAAAAATGCAGTTAAAGCCTTTAAAGACATCCTTCCATCCATTCATTCTCTCCACCCGCTTCCTCCTTTAAAGGGTCATGGGTGCCCATATCCAGAAATCACTGTTTAAGAGGCATGGTGCAACCCTGGAAGGGTCGCAAGTTCATCACAGGGCTCAATAATATCTATACTTTCAAAACATGTATAGCAAAAGTGCAACACCACTGTATTAAACATAAACTGGCCAAGCATTGGCAAAATTCTCAGTGACTTCGGCAGGAGACAATTTGTGATGAACAACAAAATCTTATAGAATTCGCTTACCTCGTTTTGACTGATTCTGAGTTAAAACGTGTTATGGCTTTAGCTGAAAGTCTCCTACTCAGATTTTAAGCTCTAACAAATTGCACAAGGTTGTTATCTAAAAAAAAATGTTCCACTAATTATTTGGAGTCAACTTTGTCTGTCTTTAGCAAAACATGTCATGAACCACTGAACATTATGTTTATATATGTATATATATATATATATATATATATATATATATACAAGAAACAACAAACAAGTGTACAGCTGTTTGATGTGGCTATCGTCAGGTGTGAAATAAAATGCATATGCTGATTGTGGTATCACGCATTTTTGCATAACATTTAGCTAATTGTTCAGTTCAAGATTTGGCCAGAATGGCTGCAACTTTGTCACAAGGTGGCAGACATTGTGCACAGGTTCAGCTGTATCAAAATTAAAGAGAATGGGCAAAACTCAGGAGCAGCACGGTGGCGCAACTGGTAGAGCTGCTGCCTCTCAGCGAGCAGGTCCTTGGTTCAAACCCCGGTCCAGGGGCCTTTCTGGGTGGAGTTTGCATGTTCTCTCCGTGCATGCGTGGGTTTTCTCCGGGTACTCCGGTTTCCTCCCACAGTCCAAAAACATGCATGTTAGGCTGATTGGTAACTCTAAATTGTCCCTAGGTGTGAGTGAGAGAGTGAATGGTTGTTTGTCTCGTTTGTCTCTATGTGGCCCTGTGATGGACTTGCGACCCGTCCAGGGTGTACCCCGCCCCTCGCACAGTGATTGCTGGACATGGGCACCAGCGACCCCCGTGACCCAAAATGGAATAAACGGGTAAAGAAAATGGATGGATGGATGGGCAAAACTCAGAAAGACAGAAAAGAAAAGTGGAAGTTAACTCCCTTTGATTTATCAGCAGTGTTCCCCTGATGAAAACCTGAAAGCTACAGCCTGGCTTACAAAAAACCCCCAAAACAAAACACATAAAAACTGCAAAAATCACGGTCTGAAATGTTGTGACGTTTAAGAGATTTTCAATTAGTACACATTGTCCTAGTTTCAAAACAACCGTTATCCAAGCAATAAATGTGTTTATCAGATATTGTTAGGTACCAGACAAATCGATAGCAGTTAAAACTGCAGAGCAAACCCAAGGAAGCTGAAGCTTGGGGGCTTTGTAACCAATGAATGAGAAATTAAAATACATCTAGAACATTTAGTTTGCAGAGTCAAGGGACTCTGAAACTGTTGCTTCTTTTGCATGCTCACTTGATTCCTGTCCATATTCATGTTGCTTTTCTTTTAGTCTTTTCTTTATCCTCTGTCCGGCTCACAAACACACACTCACACACACACACACACACACACACAAGACCGGGTGATGAGTTTGACATGATCTTTTATTCAGGCCGGCGGCTGAACTTAATGTGGTCTAAGGCTCCTGAGTTTCTTTCAAATTAGTTTTTCTATTATGCTTCTCATCGCCATCCACTGCAGAGCTATTTCCTCAATTGTGTATGGTCATGTTAATACTGCAGCATGTGTGTGTGTGTGTGTGTGTGTGTGTGTGTGTGGTGGTGGTGGTGGTGGTGGGGGGGGGGGTCACAAATAAAGGAGTTTTGCTACAGGCTTGAATGTTACTAGAAAGTTTTTCCCCTTGTTTTGTTTGTTCAGTTTTGGTCTTTGTGATTAGACTTCATCACACTCTGTAGACTTTTATTTGAGCTCTGTTTACAGCTGTCTAAAATCATAAAGTTTACAACAAATCTTGAAGAACAAAGATCGGTCTCACTGCGTTAAACAGTGGGACATCTAATAGTGTTCCATATTAATTCACGCTCACTGATCATTGTCCCATTTCTATTTGATTCTTTTATTGGCTGTTCTCATCACATGCAGGCTGCTTTTGAAAACGCTGAGCATTTTTCCATTCCTGCTCATATTGCACATCACCCTGCCACAGAGCACAGGCATATTTTTTATGCAACATAATACAAAGGTTGCTCTATATATCCTGCTTATACTTTGTATAAAGTTGAAGCATATTTGGAAATTTGTATCCAATATGTATTGTGCATTTAAAGGTGAAAGGACAAACTGTTATTGGCCCATGTATGTCTACATGTGTTCACTTCTCTGTATTAACAAAATATCACCTGAGCCACATTAAGACATTTAAAGAAACACTCATTAAATAATCACTGGATGAGCATCTACAATGCATTACATGTATTTGTTCATAAATGTACAAATGTATATAAAGACTGATAAAACAAGCCATGCAACAGAACATATAAAACATTACACTCTATAAATTGCACAGTTAAAATAGACCTATTCTATTTCATAGAAGGGTGCACGACTAACTTTATTTCAGTCGAGATCTGAGTTTCTTTTTAAAAACAGAATTGTCACAGTCTCTAACATATCAGTAGTATTTTTCATAAATGTGTTTCTCTCTCTTGCTCTCTCT